TGGCAAAAGGTGAGGCCTCTCATCGAAAGTAGTTTTGTGGTTCTACACCATAATTAAGTCCCTTCTATTCTACGTGGTGGTTGTATGAAAGAAAGCGTTATAAAGTGTTGCATTTGCCAAGAAACGTTCAAAAGAGCGTTTAACGAGCCGCGTTGGTCAGCATGTTTAGTGCGCAAAGAACTACACCAACAATAGAAGTCAATGTCTAAAACCATTTTTTTTAACTTTGCACCTAAAACTCGTGAACAAAGCCGGATGGTGTAGCGGAGGCTGCCGCGAAAGTTGCTATTTGACTCAGAGAAGTTGGGTTTCTAAATGAACATTCGGCTGAACAGTCTAGAACCCTGGAACAAATTGATTTCATATCAAACCAGCGCTGAACCAACCATCATACTGTTAAAGGAGATGTGGATAGAAAGAAGCCGTTGCAGGAGAGGGGCTGTGAGCTTGGGGGAAAGGTTGGGTTCTGCCATCAAAGTATCAGTTGATCTACTGCTCCGGAGCGCAGTTTCTTTTTTATATGTGACTATCCATTTCGAAAGTAGAGCGGCTAAACCAAACTTATACTCAATGGCCGTACGCTGGTCAAGTAATACCTCAACTCATTATCAACGGCACCGAGTTACTTCTAAAACTAGTTTGGGTATTTATCACAAATTTAAAAGAATGCTGACGTCTTTAGCTCGATAAAAATTCGGATTCGTTTCGTAATGGAACCCTTATTTCGCTTAATTGCCACTATTTATACACATGGCAGAAAAAGTCTGCGTTCACTTACGCAAATTTCCTTTGTACTATGAAAAATCGGAAAAAAAGATGATAAAAAAAATTGTTTACAGTATTTTATTTAGTTGAATAGAAAGTAGCTATTTTACAAAATAACGTACCAATAACGTGATTGAATTCAAAATAATTTCACGTAAGAAAAAGGTCATTCAAGCCAAGCATAAAAACTCTGCGTTCACTTCAAGAATAAAGGAATAAAAGAATAAAGGTTAAAAAGTATATAATAAATCAGTAGCTAGTTGGATAATAACGTCTTTTAATGACTTCTAGTAGGCGATTTTTCATTGAACCAACTAATTTGGCTGTTGTTTCTGGACTTATAGCTACCCATTCTTCTTTAAACGCGTCCTTAAGCATTTCTGTGCTGGTGATAGCACGCTGCCAAATTTTTCTCTCTAGTAGATCCCATAGGTGTTCAATTGGGTTGTGGTCAGGTGATTGTGGGGGTGTACGAAGTTGTTTTGGAATATTATAGAGCAATCACAGCTTCCCAATTTATGCTGTGAGCTTCGGGTCGTTGTCTTGTTGGAAAATAAATTAGCCCCTCTAGTCCCAACTTGACTGCACTTTCTTATAAATTTATTTTTAAAATATCAACATATTTATTCATAATCGACTCAATAAACTGAATTTTCAACTCCCGAGCTTGCCATATACCCCCACATCATAGCACCTCTACCACCATGCTTTACCGTAGGTACGAGATTTTGCTTATCCAGTGCTGTTCCACTTTTCCTCCAAACAATCTTACGACCTTTTATTCCAAAGATGCAGAACTTACTCTCATCTGAAAAAACAACGCTTTTCCAAAACTCTGGAGGCTTGTTTAAGTGCTTTTTTGAAAAGGCCGTCCTCTTAAGTCGATTTACTATCGATATGTAGGGCCACTCTGCCGTAAGATCCAGCCCTTTTCAGAATTTTTCGTACTTTATCTGGACATAACTTCTTTTGGTATTTAAATTCTATGTCTTTTGAAATTTGGCTTGTACTTTTCATACAACTACTTTTCATACAACTAACCATCGATATTTAAAGTGAACGCACACTTTTTCTGCCCAACTTACTTAAGTAGCGGTACTAAAATCGCATTAACTCAGAACGACGCAGCTAAATATCTACAAAATTTTGCCCATACACTCATCCACAATTGTTCGATGTGTGTTCGAAATAAGTGAAAAGAAATTAATGAAACTTTTAAGTTGCACATATTTTTTTTGCTGAATGCTTAAATACAGTTGGTGAACGCAGACTTTTTCTGCCATGTGTATTTTGATTTGATTATGATTTTCATTACAAATATTGTTTTGGAACTGCTTGCTTCTGTTGCTGCTTGTTTTCTTGTTATTCTGGGAACGACATTGGTATATTTTCAATATCTTTTATGAGTTGTCTTCTTCTAAAATTTAAAATTTTAAAGTGAGAACTTTTCTTTATAATTGACTGAGGTAAAAAATTATCCTTATCGATTTCAAGTCATTGGAAGGTATACAAATCTAAAATATTGCATTGTTGTCAATTTCTGAGCACAACCGGAACAATCCTGGAAAAAAAGAAGAGCTTGATTTTGCTCCAATTTGACTGAAATACCATATGAGCAGCTTCTTGGGGACAAAAGGAGGACTTGTGCAAAATTTCAGATCGACATCTCAAAAACTGAGGGACTAGTTCGCGTAAATACAGACAGACAGACATTGTCAAATTGAGTCCATTTGGTGGTCTCGCTGATCAATTGTGTAAGTGTATATTTCATAGGGTCTCCGACGAAGTTGCCTGAGTTTCTGCTCTAAATACAATTCCTCTTCCTATCGGCTTACCATTTTGTTTTACTGAAATTGTGATCATAAAAATTAATTAAAAGTCACTATAAGTAAACAAATTAAGAATAATTAACAAAAAAATAAATAATCTAGTAAAATTTGGCAAAATTTCAAAACCTTGCAATTAAATGCGCAACAGGAAAACGATTTATCTGTCAGAATAATATCCAACTTCAATAGAGTTGCATTTATCTAACCCTGTTTCTCATGATTCCAGACTGTTTCTATGTCGAAAAGAGAAAAACTTAACGAAGATAACTCTTATACAGTGAATAGATAAAAGACTGTAAATAAAAATGTTGTAATATTCTCTGTTGTAGGATTAAGAAAATTTATGTTGAAGTACCTGTTATGCTCTAACATTCTCTGGCTAAGTTACATGGCTGTTAGTATTCACTTAACAGTGGAAAATAAATTACTGTAAGTACGGCAGCAGCTGAGGTTGATGTTAAGAAATTAGGGTTAGCAAATTTCTTTCAACGCCGTGAGAGTATTTTCTTGCCATTGGTATAAAGGCCACCCTAACCTGTCTTCTAAGCCTCAGGTATATGGCTTCATCATAGATAGGAGCCGACCAATAGCCGTCCTTGGGCTGATTCCGTGGAAAGTGGGCATTCATTCGGGAGTAGCTTTGGCGACTCCACACTAAACGAAGTCTACTCCCCAGTCTCGTTTCTTAGATAGTGTGATTTTTCGACAGAATGTCCCTAAATTTTAGGGATTCATGACAGCCTTTACGCTTTCACCGAAGGCTCTTCACGAAGCTCTCTTGGTTTTCTTTAGCCCAGACTTATAAATAGCCAGTCCTGCATTATATAGCGCCCAGTTACCACTGGTTCTGCTTCCGCTAACTACAAGGTTCACAAATGGGCATTCCCTTTGTTTTTCTGAGTTTACAGAAGACTTTACTCATAACTAACAGATTAAAGAAATTCAAGGAATTTGAATTAACATATAACAAGCAATAAAGGTACCATAGTAAAAGCATTACTAGCAATCTAGGATTTTCAAAATAATTTAAAGAAATTATTTTTCTTACCGTACACTTAAGAACCTCAAAAGCTAGGATAGGTAGGGTATTGAAGAAGAAAATTTTCCCTGTTCAACTCATTGTAGTTCTGAAAGATCTGTCGGTTTTAGCACGTAACAACTTTAACGATTTTTCCTCGAAAATGCATATTTCGAATCGAATATACCTTGACCAAGGTATATCAAGTTTTCCACGAAGTTTGTGAGGAAACGTTAAGAGGAATCATCGGTTATCCTATAAAATGATCAGTACGAAGAGCCGAGTTGACTTAGCCATGTCCATATACGCGAACTAGTCCCTCAGTTTTAGAGATATCGATCTGAAATGTTGCAAACGTCCTTTTCTTCCCAAAAAGCTACTCATTTGTTGGAACCCGCGATATCTATACATATTGCTGCCATACAAACTGAACGATCGGAGTCTAGTCCTTGTAAGTAAAACCTTTTCATTTAAGGAGATATCTTCCAGGAATTTGGCATGGGCCATTATTCAAGACAACGGTACAATATCCGGTGAATATATTAGAGAGCAAATGGGTTTATTTTTTTTTTTTACTCTAAGAATCAATTGTCAAAGTGAGACTGCTTTTGAAATTTATCCAAAGAAATTATGTCTTCCAAATTCAATGTGACAGCCGTTGATGCAAGTGGCTAGGGATAGCAAATGTTACAATGTATCGTTAACATTTGCTGCTAAACATCTATTTTAATGGTCTTGTAAAAATCCACTGTTTACAAAGCTGCAAGCAGGAGCAAATTCTGTAAATAGAATTCATGCCTCAAATCAGATAGTGTTAATGAATACGAATGCTTATAGTTATTAAATTCATTAACATTCTCTGCCAAAGCTTGTCTACAGTATTTCCCAAACACAAAATACAAAATCGACAACATTTCAAGTACCACTGTAAACTGATTAGATAAATAGACACTGTAAATAATGAAAATCTGCTGTAATGTCGGAATCTTCGTTAAAAACATTTTCGTTATGCTCTCTGTTTTGGTTACTCAAAAAATGTAGCTGAGCACGCATGCAACAGCATCGTACCTGTGCAGCTACATACATACATACATGTATGTAAGAGTGTATTTATGTCACACATATTGTTGTTTTAACTCACGCGCCGTAATGGAGAGCAAACATTTCCGGAAAATTGCTAAAGTTGCACAACGCAACATTTCCAATAGGAATATATATTTATGTATGCAGATATTTGTAATGCGCTCTCGCTCTTCCGCTCCAATTGCAGGGAAAATAATCCAAACAACTTCGCTATACAAATGCCTAACCGAATTGCACTTACTCTCCACACGAGTGGAAGACACAAGTGTTGCTCGCAAGTCGCCCGGGAGCGCTATGGTGCGTTTTGCTGCACATCATCGCCTTGAACGACAACAGTCAGCGCTAACACCACCACCATCACTAGCAACACAACTAACAGCAGAAGCATTCCCTTTAACAGCAACGACGAACATGTCACCTAGCCACCACCGCGCAATAATTTACGCGCAGCATATGTGTGCACGAGTACATTGAAGGGCTGGATCAGCTAGTGAGCCATCGGGCAACTGTAGCGTAACTGTGCAACGAATGGTCGCACAGTCGCAGCCGAACACTCTACGGAGTCAGAACAAATTCATAGTTAGCGCGCATAAACGTTTAGTAACGCGTATAAGCCGAACGAACGTTTGTTTGTGTGGGGTACGTTGCCGTCAAAACAACGGTACTTTTTTGGATTATCATTTTTATTCGTGTACACAGACCGACAACTCGTCGTCGAAGAAAATCTGAAGTTGTTGAGGTGTTTTCCATACACTATATTTTTTTTTGGTTTTCTCGTCCGCGTATGTGAACATACGATATATTGTATATGTGTGCGCGCATATGTGTACTTCCGCCACATATCGATGTTGTTTCGCGTTGACGACGCGTCGCGCAAAATGAACTTTGCATATTTCGACATAGGATTTCCGCAAACAGCGCGCGTATATTTTTGTGTGGGTCCAAACACAAATGATAAATGAAAGTGTTTGCAAAACATCCACATTCGCAGTAGTAAAAGTGTTTGTGGTTACTTGGAAAATGTGCTTGCAGCATAAGTGAAAATTGGTTTCGAAGACGAAGGTAGTGTTTGAAATCATTGTTGCAGTAAACTTTAACGAAAAATGCTAAGAAGGCTGAAATACGTTGAGACAACGACGACGTTGCTGGTGGACGCAACGTTAGGAAGCAACAAATGTGTTGGATAATAGAGTTTTTTGGCAGGTAAATATTTTTGGAAGTGCTCAAGTGCGCTAAATAGAAGTGAATATTCGAAGGATAAAAAATTCGAAAAATAATTTTGTGAAAAAATAACGATTACAGTGTATAAAAATATAAAAATTGTATTAATATGATATTCAAAGTGTGTAATTAAAACTATAATGAATTAAAGCTAATACGAAAAAAAATTTACAGTTAGACAGAAATTTAAATACTGCTAAAACAAAATAACCGGAATTGCTTTTATCCAGTACCAACAGATATTGCAAATCTGCGCCTATAATTAAAAAAAAAAATATTTTGGATTAAATGTAATCATTATATGTTGTAATCATTACCTGCTGTAATCATTACATATAAAAGTATGCATTTTACCGTTACTTTCTGTGATGAATTTTAGTTTTCAAATAACTTTGTCTAAAAACCGTTATAATTAACTACAAAAAGCAATTTGTGTTATGGCAATTATATTAAAAATATGTGAGTTGTAAATAGCGAGACGAAAACAAAAACAAAAATTTAAAGAAAAAAGCAGCAATAAAAACGCGGAAAAATATAAGCAAAATTAAAAATTTTTAAATTTTACTGTGAGTCGGTAATATATTTACAAACACATATCAAACAAAAATAATAATAAAAGCATAGCAATAAAAATCGAGTGCAGAAAACAGATTTTTTGAACAAAAAAAAAAGTTAAAAACCATTCACACAAAATAATTGCAAAAAAATAAAAAGTAATAATAAATAAAAAAAGTAGTAATAACAACTCACTTAATACAAGCAATCTAAGCAGCTTTTACAGCAAAATAAAAATAATCATGAATAAAAATAAAAAATATAAAATATATTAAAAAAATTTACTGCGCTTTGTATAGCACAACAGCTGTGAGGAAAGTTATTGCATTTATTTTCAAACTAAAATCAATTTTTTTGTGGCTTTAATTAGCACACAGAAAACTTATAACAACAATTACAACCCAACTAAATCCACGAAACGCTTTTAAAAATTAAAAAAAATTCTAAAACAAACTTCGCGCTTACAGCAACTCATAACAGTGTGTGTAAACAGCAATTTGTTTGAGCTTGTTGTAGATTTGCGTGTTTGAGCAATTAAAGCCAACTTAAAGCCGCACACCACAAGCCACCGCAAGCGTTGTAACCACCAGCCGTGGATCTGTGAAATTGCTTCATTTTTAATTTATCAGCTGCCTATGAAAAGTTAAACAAGCGAGCGAGTTATATTTTTACAAAAAAATAAAAAATAAAATAAAATAAATAATTGTGTGTATTTTCTGTTGTTTGTGTAAAACTTTTGCACCGCTTGCATTTTTAATAGATTTTTACACTTCAACTGCTGCATGGTGCAAGCGTGTGTATTTAATAACGATTGCTGTTGGTGTAAATAATTCGGTTTTGGCACAAAAACAACAAAAAACAACTCGATACAGGTGAGTGGTGATTTTGTTGTATTTACCTATGTGTTTGCTGTATGAAGCGCTCAATCAATAACACGCTTTACATTCAGATAATTAATATTTATTAATAAAATTTGGTTGCTGGGTGGCAGCCGCATATATAGAGTGTAAACGTTGATTTTAAAAAGTATGAAAGTGCGCCGGTTTGCTTTTTATTGGTGCTAAAAGGTTGGTTTATTGATCAGAAATATATGAGTATATCCATCTGTGTTACGTTCTTCAGAAGTTCCTCGAAAAATGTTGGCATCATGTGTGTTTAGTTGTTGCGTAAGAAATTGTGTATTTGTTGGCAAATAAATTTTAAACTTTAATTTCAGATTTGTATTTTAAAATATTTCAAAACTGCAGGAGTACGCTAATTAAAACTATATGTATTTTATATATATATATCTTATAATAATAAAAAAACTAGATTATTTTCTCTTACCTAGCCATATGTGGGACATTCCCATTGTTTTATTGCTAATTAGCAAATATAAATATCTGATATTTCGTACATTTTTGTGTTTGTATTAAGCTTTACAAACAAGCCAATAAATTTAAGCAATTAGTGAATTTTTCTGACATAAAGTTCAATATGTAAATACATATGAGAAGTTTACAAAATATTACGAATTAATGAACGAGAAGATATTTTATGTGGTAATTAAGAATCATAAATGCTAATGGTGACCTTGTGCTGTAATCTAATTACAAATAAGTTATAGGAAATAATACGAAAATTTCCAAAAATTTTCATTTGTTATATATCAAAGTAAATATATAAAAATTGTATATTTTTGAACTTTTATTAATATATTATAAACAATATGCGAGGGAAGAGTAGCGTTAATTATAAAAATTTTAGTAAAACTAAAAAAAAAACAAAAAAAAACACAAATCATAAAAAACTTTAATATTAAATTGTAATAAATTTTTAGGAGCCAAAAAATATTTTTTTTAATTTTACCTCTTTTATTAAATTTAATTTAATTCAACCTCTTTTTCTTCTTTCGTTGCCTTCAAAATCATATACATTTTTTATAAGGCAAAAAATATTAAATCACTCATATTTTTCACTCTCATTTAAAACAAAAAAAAAGAGTGTTAAGTGATTTACAACGTTAACTTCTCTTCTCTCTTTACTTCGATCGCTCTAAAATTATATTCTGCAATAAAATAGAGTAACGGTTTATCAATAAAATACGACTTAATGATTTTTCGATTAAAACGTCAACAATGAAATTTGTCTACTAGAAAAAAGTAGTTACATGAAAACTTCAAATTCATTTCAAATCAGAACTTAATGAGAAATCTATTAAAATATTTTCTATTTCTGAGTGAAATATCCTTCCTAGAATGTATTATAAAATTAGCTGATGTACTATTCGTTCTCTTAAAAATCAGAAAGAAAAATTTTTAGCAGCATTTGGGAATAATTTTTGAAAACATTTTTTTTTTAAATTACTTTTTATTTTAATGCCTTCTATTTATGCATATAAAAAATCACCTTTATGCGTATGGCAGTTCTAATTCAAATCCAATACATTGGGTTTGCTTTAGAAATAAACCAATTTTATGCAGTAAAGAATTAGTGTTTGAAATTTTAATCATTGGTCCGTAATTTGGATTGTTTAAATAAAGTTTTTGCCTTTCGGTGGTTCTTATTTTTGAATGTTTTATGTATATGTAATAATATCAAAATGAAAACCCACTTAATAATAGATTAAGAAAACGAAGGTGGTCAAAACTTTAAATTATTTCTCTTATTACTAGAGTATAGTACCTACAAGTAAAACCCCTATTAGTTGTCATTCAATTCATTGTTCTATCATCTATAGTTAAAAGGTTTTTGTCACTTAACAGTCTTGAAAATAATCAAGATTTGTATTTATTGCATTCGAGATTACTTATAAAAAATTAAAATTAAGTTTTTCAAAATATTTGATTCGGATAAGAGCAATCAATTTTGTTGAAGATCAGTTTAGATTTAAAATGTATACCTTAAAATATTTCAGCAGAGATAAGAAGGAATATAACATAATTTAAAGCGCAAAAAGTGATCTGTACTAGAAACAAAATAGTCTACCATTATTTTAAGTGCGCCTTAATAGATTTGACTGCTAAAAAATAAGTGTGATTCAAAAATATACTGTTGTTTAGCTTCAGCCAATTCGATAAGATATAAAAATATTTAAAACGTTGAAATAAATCGTATATTTATGTAAAAACTAATGTTTCAAAATAAAATTGCAAAAATTGGCATCACACAATTTAAAAAAGCTCAAAATTTTTTTAAATAACCGATCAAAAATGTTTCTTAATTGATACAAATTTTGAGAAAAAATTAAAAAATAATGCACATTTCAAATTTTGAATTGAAATATTTATCAACAAATTATTTTGATATAGTCATCAGACAAACAAAATAAGGACGGAAACAACATAACTGAAAAAAATTTCATAAAATAGCGGCAAATGTTTTAAAATTATTACAAATTTTTAAACTGTCAGGTTTTTTTAGCTCATACGATAGAGTAGAGTGATGTTTAGCGAATGTATCTTAAGATATCATGACGAATGCATACAAAAAGTAGTGTCGAGAAAAACGGTAAAAGTAAACCAGCCAAGATACCACGACACTAAAACGGCTATAACACTAAAAATAATTTGAATTTTCAAAAATCGCTTTCGAATATCTACATTATTTTTAAAGTTTCGAAACTAGACGCAATTAGAAATATTAAAAGGCTATATATTTTTATCTGCTTAAAAAGGATAACAACAACTTAAAATATATGCAACAGGCATAAAAAGTATGCTTAAATTACCATTGTTGTTGTCTTATTTTTGTATTTCATAAAGACGACATTCGCATTCAAAAGCAACATTTATGCACAATTAGATTTAAAAAAAAAACCAATTTCTTCCACTCAATGCAATTCTTGTTAACGTCCGCCAAATAAATTTCTTGTGCGCAATCATTTCACCAACATTATCTTCAGCAAATTATCTTAAAAAAGCATTTAAAACAAAAATTATGCATGTACATGACACCGCTGACTGGCGAGGCGGCAAATCTTTAGCAGATGTACATTTAAGATTTGTTGACTAAACGACCGAGCCTACGCACTGACACAGCGCTTGACCTGCTTAATGATGAAAGAATGATAGATAGCAGAAAAAACAGCAAGAAAACACCGTTCCAAAATATGCCTGCGCATGCCAGTTTTATCTGATCGGTCGTAGCGCACAAATTAAGCGAAATTACAAAGGCATCATAAATGCCGCCGTGGCGCTCCCTGCACCCTGCACCCCGTGGCCGACGCTGCAGCAAGCGCATTAATTTCTTTATGTGCCCACTGCGTCTACCATTCACCTTGCCGCATATATCTCAGCTCGAAATGGGCGCACATTTGATTTCATTTAATTTCACTTTGTTTTGCGCTTCATTTGACTTCACTTCATTTGTGTTTTGTTGCACCTTTACGCAGCGCTTGCGTCTACTTGTTTTATCAAATGCACCGAATCTTGTGCCGGCTGCTGTGTAACCGAAAATTGTCTATCTGCAGCGCAGCGCTGCCTCATGAAATGTATTTATTAATTTTTTTTTTTTTTGTATTCTCACATACCCATTCTCGTGCTAACTCTCACTGCCCTGCAAAGCGCGTTAACATTTTAAGTTTATTGGTGAAAAAATTATGAGCAGGTAATTATGTGAAAAATTATGTTTGACAATTAAAATTCTTCACATTTCCGTCTTCGCCATGCGCCTGACGTTGCCTGACGTTGTCATATGGCACTCAGCGCTTTGATCTTCTAATGTCGATTATTCGGTCGCAGTGACGACAAGTGACAGTAAAACGCGTGTACAAGCAGTGCTTGGCATAGTGGAGTCTACCATGTGGCTGCCACAAGTTTGCCGACACTTGCCGCATACGCCGCAAATTGTGAGAGCCTCTCTATTTGGCTTTTATTACTTTTTTTCTAGACTTTGCTGAGATTCTTTTCATTATACCTTGAACAGGCTGCATATGAAAAATTTGCCAAGAAATTTGTAATACCCAAAAGGAAACGGCGGAGACTTTATAAAATATATACATAAATGATCAGAACTAGTCCTTCAGTTTTTGAATATCTCGATCTGAAATTTTATACAAGTCCTTTTCTCCCTAAGGAGCTGCTCACTTGTCGGAAACGCCGATATCGGACTACTATAGCATATAGCTGCCATACAAACTGATCGATCAAAATCAAGTCCTTATATGGAAACCTTTTTTATTTTCCAATATATCTTCACGAAATTTGGCACTGAATATTTTGCAAGTTAATTGCTACAATCTTCGAATTTATTCAGATCGAATCACCATAGCATATAGCTGCCATACAAACTGAACGATTAAATTAAAGTTCTTATATGGAAAACTTTTTTATTTGATGAGATATATTTACGCAATTTTGCACAGATTATTGTTTAAGGCAGCGCTACAATCTCTGAACAAATTATTCAGTTCGAACTACTATAGCATAGAGCTGTCATACAAACCGATCAATCAAGATAAACAATTTTTTATAATATTTTATTGAGAATTGCACTTGTGAAGGGTATTATAGCTTCAGTACCGCCGAAGTTAACTTGTTTCTTGTTTTTATTTTATTTTTTTAAATACATACACAAATTTTTTCACTTGCTCTTTGCAACTCCAATCACTTCTGGTATGCTTGGCATTTATGTGTGGCATTTGAGGTTCGCTGCTTTGTTGGTACATTCTTTGCTGCTTTGTATATAATGTTTGTTTGCTTATTTCTTGTTGTTGTTATGAAAACAGATTTCTCCTATAAAACAGTTGAAATTCCGTAATTTTCATCTTGATTGCAGTCAGTTAGCGTGAAATTTATTGATGATTTGATTTGCTCTTCATGCTCTCTAATGGTTTTTCAATTTCTCTTAATTCTAATTCGGGCTGCTTGGATTTATATTGCTTCACAGATGT